CATACTTTCCCTAAACTTGTTTTGATAGTTCTATTCATGTGTTCCACCTTTCCCAAGCTTTGTGGGCGGTAGGCTGCATGGAGTTTCCAAGTGATGCCAAGGATGTTAGCCATCTTCTGGACCAATTTGGAGATGAATGCTGGCCCGTTGTCTGACCCAGTCTGTGGCAGGAGCCCAAACCGTGGTATAATGTTTCAAGAGTGCCCAGGTGACTTCTTGCACCTTCTCGGTGCTGGTAGGATATGTTTTTACCCATCCAGAATAGGTGCAAACCATCACCAGCAAGTACTTGTTCCTTTTACACCTGAGCATTTCAGTTAAGTCTACCTGGAAGTCCTCAAAGGGCATTGTTCCATATGACTGGATTCCAGGGGGTACCATAGGTCCTTGGTGAGCATTGAATTGGCTGCAGGTGACACATTGTTGGCTGACAGCTTTAGCCAGGGCTGCCAGGTAAGAAATGTAGAAATACTTCACCAGGGACCCCTGTACCAGATGGGTGCTCTTGTGCATCGCCACTACCACAGTGGCTCCTAGGAGCTGGGGGACTGCTACTCATCCATCAGGCATCTCTATCCATCCTACCTCTGTTTCCTGGCTCCCCTCTGCTGCCAACCATTCCTTCTCTTCCCGAGAGTAGATGAGGTGAGTTTTGGAACCCATGGGATGAGGAGAGCCACTCGCAACACCTGGTACGGCTGGGAGGCAGCCCTCTTGGCCTCAATATCAGCTTTGGTGTTCCCCTTAGTGATGGTGGAAGCATCCTTTTGATGTCCATGACAAAGCATGATTGCCACTTTCTGGGGTTTCCATACTGCCCCTAGCAACTGAAGTATCTCTTGCTGATGCTTGATGTCCTTTCCCCCAGAGTTTAAGAGTCCCTTCTCCTTGTATAGTGCCCCATGCACTTGGAGAGTCAGAAAGGCATATTTAGAGTTGGTGTAAATATTTACACTCTTTCCTTGGCTTAGTTCTAAGGTAAGGTGACCAGATTTTAACATTGGTAAAGCGGG